CCAAAGACAAGTGTTTAAGAAGAATCTGTTTCTTTAAGGGACAAAATTGCTTTAATTTTATCCTGTGGTTATCAAAAAGTCTTAGGAATTTTAACGTTATTTAAAGTGTCTTTGTCTTGCTAAAGCAAACATAATATGAAAAGAGGATTACTAGAAATTGGAGGAATACATAAAGTGCTGAAAGGTTGCCTTCACACTTGCTTTTTCTTTTTTAAACAAAGATACAACTGGTATCCAGCTCAATGCTGGAGCTTATTGGTTGGGTTGATTATGACGATTCTTAAACTCTTACAAATGATCATAGTCTAATAAACTGTATGCACATTGCAATGGGTGCTGACCCCTACAGCTGATTCATATCTAATGTGGTGCTACTGTGGTCTCCAAACTCTGCAGTTGTCATTACAATGCTTAAATGCTTATCCTAGATGCATCCCTTCTGAAAGTACAAATAATATGTTGAATATAATACCAAAATAGTTTTTCCTGAATTAAAATTGTCCTTTTTAGTTAAATATTTGATACCAATGAAGCGTGTATCCACGCTATAAAATGTTTTTCTTTCTGTTTCAGAACTTAAAATAACAGCATTATGCTATTCATGGGGGTTTTTTTCATGAAGAGAAGAGGTATTTATGTGAGAAAGTAGCATATAAAAAAAGGTACTGAAAGCAGGTAGTTTAACTTCTTTCCCTCCCCACTCCCCCCCGAGAAAATGTGTGCTGATATGTAATGTTGATTGTAAAAATCAATTCATGATGAAAAAGCTGCAAAGATCCTTAGGAAAAGGGTTGTTTTTGCTGAAAAGCCAACAATATGTTTATAGTGTTTGCATGTAGGAAGGGAAGAAAAAATACTGAGCCTAATACTGAAAGCCTAGTATTTGGGCTGAGTAAAACAAGAAAGGATGACAAAAGATCGTGTGACAGATTTAAAGAACTTAAACTAGCATGCCCACGAAAGAGAATGAAGACAAATGTATGCGTCTGGACATACTTGCTCCCTGTTCATATTTATGTCTGTATCACTTTTTAGGAATTTACAATGCTTTCTTACCACAGATGATTGGGCAATTACTGAAAATGATATTCCAGCTCCTTCTCTTGTTCAGGCTCTAGTGTTGGTGCTAGCTCATGATCAGCTAAATTAAAAAGCTGATGTGGCTGCAAGCTCGCTGTGTTCCATGTTAATTTTTCAGTTGGGTCATCTGCACAGCTGTAGGAGCACAAATAAAAGCTTGAGGAGACTGGGTGTGGCAGATTGTGCACTCCAGTCATGATGCTGCATTGTAAGGGTTTTAGAGTATGTGATTTTGAGGATCCTGAGGGATTTCTGCTGCCAAAACAAGATGATCCAACTTCCTTTTCACTGGCCCTTTTGTTTCTGCCTCTTTGCTTATAGTCTTTGCTATTTGACCTCAAGATGGGCTGATTTAACCCACAAATCTTGCAAAAAAATTGTTCAGAAAATTAAAAAAAGACTAGTTTTTCTCCCAGGCTGGTGGGTTGAATCTGCTCGCTGTACAACCAGGTAGGTCCTGGTGCAGCCCTGATGGACGTCTCAGGATTGTCTCTTCCCACAGTAGCAAACTAGATTGTCTCAGTTGTCTTGTCTTGGCCCTTTAAAGTGGTTCTCTGGCTGTGCCAAATTCAAAGCCTAAAAAGCTTTAGCTGTATAATGTAGGTTTTATTCCTTTACTTCTTCTGGTGTATTTTTGCTTTTTATTAATGTGAGTTGAATATGGTAAAATGCTAGCTGTCTCCTAAAATACTTCAAATATGCTACTACCTACAAGCATTTTAACAAATGTGCTCTGGAAAAGACTCTAGAAAATCTGAAGAGAAGCAGTGCTATACTAGTATCAAGACTGTTATGATAAGTTTCTATTACAACAGAAATTTAAGCTAATATGTTTCCATCCAATATGTGATATTAGAGTTGTACAGGTTTATGATGAATGAAGAGACAATTAATTTATTTGCAGACATGACGCGCCACTCTTGCTCTGTCCTGCATCTAGGGTACGTGTCCTCCCTGTGTGACTGAGTCTTTGTGGCTTTAACCAGAACTGAGCCTGAGCAAAGCCACTATTAATCAAAAATTGTGCAAATTTGCCAAGTAACGCAAGTGTTAAGCACACCCACCAGTAAAAAAATGTCATAGACAACAACTTCAGATTTTTAAAGGTTAAATAGGTTGGGTACTTTGCTGTAGCTGAAATTATGATTTCTTTCCTGTGAATATGTGTGCTGGTGGGAATCAGTCTGATTCAAACAGAGTACAAGTCTAAACTTTTGTTTTTCTGTCTTCAGACACTTTTCAAGAAAATAATTTCATTTAACATGATATTTTATTTTCTTTTCCTTGAGCCATTTGTTTATTGCTTATTAAAAGGCAATCTATTTAAAAACTTGAAATGCACTCCATCTTCATCAGTAAAGCTTTCTCCCATAACTCTGCCAGCATCATCAAGCTCCATTAAAATCATTCTAGTTAGAATAAGTCTTCAGAACAACTGAAAATGGATGCAGAAGGGATTTTGATTAGTGCACGATGTAGTGTGTGAATGTGTCTGTAAACTATTCTATTCTATTCTGTTTGAAAAGTGTGCTTTTGGTTGTGGTTGATGTCCTCTCATAGGTTCATGTATAGCTGTTGGGAAAATGCTTGTGCTGTTAAACAAAAGCCTAGGTCAGGACTGTTCCTTGAAGGATAACAAATTATATCCACAAGCACCAGGCAAATTGCCTGCTAGATTACCTTGTATCGGTGCTAATCCCTGATGATGTAGACAGTAAGAGCCCACTGATTGTACCTGGGCTGATTGCAGCTGAGTAAGAAATTGCTGTGCTACTGTGTCTGTTGACTTTTGCTTGGTCCTCCCTCCCAAACACACTCAAGCTTCTTTTACCAAGCTTTGAGGCAGCTAGAGCTAAAATTGGTGCATGAGGAGCCTCGTATGGGAAACAGGGAAAATAGAGCAGAATTTGTCCCTCAGGTGGTGGAGTAGGATATTCCCGTGGTGTCCTGCATATGTTTCCCCTCTTTTCAGTTTCAAAGGAGTACAAAATATGGAGAAACTGAGTAGGGCACTCTTATTCAGTTGTGCAGGGAAGAAATGTAAGGGAGGAATATCATAAGGACTGAAGAAGGTACAGAAATGTGCTGAGGTTCTGGAAACCTCACCCTTTCCTCTAGTTTAGTCTTACATGTGCGAAAGGGAAGGGAGAGGAGCAGATGGGTGTTTGCGGAGTGAAGGAAGGAAGAGGGGTAGACAGTGCAGACAGACACCAAGATACCTGCTTCTGTATGCACAAGGTTATGAAAGAAAGCTCCGAAGTTCAACTCTTGCTGTTGTGGTGTCAGGCCAGCCAGCTCCAAATTGTGCCCGGCTCTCGGTGAAAAGATGCTTTGGAAAAATTGTATAAATATCTGCATCGCAGAGTTTTCTGGAAGCTCATGAGCTCAGACTTCTAGTGTCCTATACTGTTTTCATGCCACACGTATTCTGCTGAAGTACTATCTGATGGGATTTAGAAGCAGCTGGAATCTGTCACATGCTGCATCTCCCCACATTGTGGTTTGTAGCAATGGAGGGGTTTAGAGCAAGGTTAATACCAGTTTAGTCTTTACGTAAGTTTCATTATGTTGAAAAAACAGTAGTTTTTCTATCAGAAATCAGATTTTAGATTTTTTTTTTTTTTTTTACCTCTTCCTGTTTTGTGTGGTAGCTGTGCTGGCAGAATGGGTTTCCATCACCGCCACCAACCATCAGAATGGCAGAACGAAGTTAATCAGTGCTCAGTATACTTCAGTGCAAGACACCAAAACACCACAGACAGGAATCTGTGAAACCGAAGTTGAACAGGCTGTTGTATGTTACTGTGGATACTGGCAAACAGGATATGCAATTTTGAGCTAAGACCATCTAGTTCATGTTTTTTTAAAAAGTTATTTTTATTAGATGTCTTCTCCAGAAGTTGTTCTTGGCCTGAAACTGCTTTTCTGCCAACTTAGTTCTCCCTTTCGTGTGCTGTGAACACTTAATGCTTTATTCCTTTCATTCTCTTACCAATGTACAGACTGTTTTCCTGAATAACTTCTTTTGTTTTTAAAATTCAGAAGGATATGCTTTAAGGCTTACAAATTTATAGTGCTGGGGAGCTTACCTGTATGAGCATTTGAACTTGTGCAGTGGTAACTGTGTATCGGTTCACTAATGTGAAATAATTAGAGAAACTGATTCTAATCTAAACACCAGTGGGGCTGCTGCTGCTTATTGTGCTGTGCTTCCAGCCATCTCATGAGTCTCATAAATGCATGCCAAGGTGTGGGAAGAATTGTTGGATGTTCTTTTGTTTTGCTCAATAGGCTAAACATGATCTGGGGAAGACAACCATGTTGTCAGGCTCTGACAAAGAGCAAGATGGCATCCGAAGAGTATTTTATTTTTCAGATTTAGCTGCTGGATATTCCTATTAAGCCTCGTTAGACTGTTTGATCTGCAGGAGTTTGCCCAGTTAGTTTGGTGTGGTGCATGCTTACCTACCTTCTCAGTCTGCATACAGCTGCCTTTTTTTTTTTTTTTTCCTAATAAGGATAATTTTACTTTTAAAGTATCCTTAATGGCTTTACACATTTTAAAGCTTTTTAGCAGAACAATTAAAGTTTTTAAGACTTGTGTCCCAAGAACGACCTTGTCTGTATAACTTCTGCTTCCTTGAATAGCTTCCTTTCATTCTAAGGGTTAGTTCATAGTAAGCAGTTGTCATCTATTTGAGCTTGTTCCTAAGCAGTTGTTAAATATATCCAAACCCCGTTTCCCCTATATGTATTTTGCATAGCTTAGCTGTTCCCACTGGCTCAAGGATGACCAGTCACTCCTCCAGCAAACTAATGAAAGCATATAGAATAAAAATAACAAAGAATTGCTGATTGACCAGAACACCAGTAAAGACTAAAGATGTCTGTGTAATGGTGAACACTTAATATTTTGGTAGGTCAGACGAGTGCCGGGTTCCAGTGGTCACCTCCATAAAACAGAAGATGGGGACTGGGAATGGAGTGATGATGAAATGGATGAGAAGAGCGAGGAAGGCAAAGCTGCTGTTTCTCAGGAAAAGGTAACTTTTGTTTGTGCCAAGACATTTACACTCTGCAAGATATTCTGTCTTAGTGTTAATTGTCAGTATTTCTGAATCTTTAATGCATAAAGCTGCATAGCTCATATCTCTCTGCATTTGTTTTCCAGTCACGAAGAGTGAAAGTGGAGGAAAACACAGAGGTAAAAATGTCTTTATCAATTTTTTTTTCTTCCAAGTGTTTGAGTGAAGGGATTTCTTTTTCATTTCTGTTGTTAAAAATGTGAATTGAGGTGGGAGTGTTGTTCTGCAGCCTTGTATGGCAAGTACTTGTGAGGATAAAGCTGTATGCAGTTGGGCCTGTAACAATTAATTTGAGCGCACACTGGATAAAACGGATAGGAAATTTAAAGTCATGTTATGTTCGTGCCCAGGAGAATTGGTTAAGATAGGTAATTTGGCTGTTTTTAATGAATCTTCATAACTGGATCACACTAATTGCTATCTTTTTGTCAGAGTTATGGTGGCTGTTTTGGAGTAGCCAGAAGATGTCCAAATAACTTTTAATTCTTAGGATTTGTATCACGACATGTAGCTTGTAATTAAAATGCTTCATCCCGTATACAGTAAAATAGTTCAGTACTGTGGCATAGTAGATTAATTCAGAGGAATAAAATACCATATTGAATTTCATGGCCCTGTGCTGAGAGTGTGGGAAGCATTGCTGCTATAAATAATTGCTTAATAGGATTACTGGCTTACAGCCAAAGTGCTCTTTTAAAAATGTTTCTTGGGGGGGTGACACTTGCGATTTCACCTGCAATTTTAGATTCTCTGATCTTCATTGGTGTCATAGAAATCTTCTAAAAGTCTAACAGCTTCCTGCCAGGTTTGGTCCTGTTAGCTCCTGTGATGACCCCAGTCTTTCCGTTGCAGAGCTAGTTTACTTAACGCTTCAGCATCTGAGATGTCTTACGTAAGCTGAGTACAGAAAAAAAAAAAAGAAAAAAGGACTTTCACCAGACAGTCTTTTTGTGTCTTAGAAATTGAGAGTTCTGCAGTTTGTGACTCAGTTTATACAGGTAATTCTTTTATTTATGAGTTGTTGTCGTGGTTTAACCTCAGCCGGCAACTAAGCACCACACAGCCTCTCGCCCACTCCCCCTTGGTGGAATGGGGGAGAGAATTGGAAGGGTAAAAGTGAGAAAACTCGTAGGTTGAGATAAAGACAGTTTAATAGCCAAAGCAAAAGCTGTGTGTGCAAGCAAAGCAAACCAAGGAATTCATTCACTACTTCCCATCGGCAGGCAGGAGTTCAGCCATCTCCAGGAAAGCAGGGCTCCATCACAAGTAATGGTTACTTGGGAAGACAAACGCCATCACTCCGAACGTCCCCCGCTTCCTTCTTCTTCCCCCAGCTTTATATGCTGAGGATGACGTCATATGGTATGGAATATCCCTTTGGTCAGTTGGGGTCAGCTGTCCCGGCTGTGTCCCCTCCCAGCTTCTTGTGCACCCCCAGCCTGCTCGCTGGTGGGGTGGGATGAGAAGCAGAAAAGGCCTTGACTCTGTGTGAGCACTGCTCAGCAGTAACGAAAACGTCCCTGTGTTATCAACACTGTTTTCAGCACAGATCTAAAACATAGCCCCATACTAGCTACTATGAAGAAAATTAACTCTATCGCAGCCAAAACCAGCACAGTTGTTTAGTTTATGAAGGAGAAAAAAGCCTCTGCTTGAAGTCTTCTATTGATTTTTATTTTCCTAAATGCTCCAGAAGATGACTTGGAACTGAGACTAGTGCAGCTTGTCACTGTTGGTGTGCGCCTGTTGGTCTTTGGACTGCACGTTCCTATACACTGAAATAACAGGTCTGTTGAAGATGCAGAAAAATAGTAGTAGTTTATATGAATGGAAGGACCTTAACTGAAGTAGAAAAAAATCTTCCCCTTTTAGTGGTTAAATAATCGTCCAAATATTCATTAACTTTTGTTTAAAATGCACAGATAATAAAATACAGATCTTTTGTAACACTTTTTTTTTAAAGTAGCTTTAATTTGGGAAACTGTTGGAAAACAATCAAATGAGATTTGTGATGCAAGTCTTTATTTTGGGAGGACTTGACTGTAACCTTTGACAGGCTTCTGTGCGTGGTGACAATATGCCAAGTTGGATATGAAATCATAGTAGGGTAGAGGACCCTGAGCTTCTCTGTATGCAGGATAGACTTTTGCTTGAGACTTCATATAAATGTTAGTTGAGGGCTGGGGAGGGTATCATAGAGTGAGGGAGGAGTGATAGTGTGAAAGATATCCATATTCCTGATTTTTCTCTGTGAAAGACATTCTCCGAGCTGTGATGCCCACTTTGATATGCTACTAGTTCTTTGCAGATGGGTAGATGCAAGACTTCCTTAACAACCAAAACTGTTACACAAAAATGATGTGAGTAGTAGCTTGGTTTTCTTCCTCTGTGTGTGTTATTTAATAGGTTATTGGAGCTTTGATGCAAGGTGGATTAAAAGCTCTTACACTCAGTGCTTTAATGCAGGCCTTATCATTTGTATCTCTGTAACTGCAATACAGCAGTTTTACTGGTATCAGCTATATTTTAGACTGTGTTACTGAAAGTGTTTAAAAGGTTTTTGAGAGTTAGAGGATGTGTAAAATATTCTGTGCTAACTTCAAACTGGTAGCATGGCAAGTATTTTGGGATTTTTTTTTTTTTCCTTTGGCATCCTTTATAAGACTTTTTGCTTTTTTTTTCTTTAATAGTCTCAGCCTGCTGTTAATGACGAATATAGTGATGTTCCATGTGCAGTGAATCTTGTCTTAAGATTAAGGTAAGAGATTCTTCTATTTATTTTAGCATTTCTTCTTAGTTAGCTGTATTATTCTTGATCTCCCTCATTACTTTCATAATCTTAACATAAAATAAGTGTTAATCTCTTTAATCTCCCAGTATGACCAGTATGAATAGTGTTTCTGTGACTAATTGCTGTCTTTTAATTGCTTACTGAAATAGTGTAAAATGAAAAGCAGAGTATGAATGTGGCTTCAGGCTAAGTGTACCCTTCATTAAGTATTTTCTTTCTTTTTTTCCTTGCAATGCAGGATCACAGTGAGAGATTTTTAATGAGTTTCTTTCACACTTCAGCAGTCAGTCTCTGACAGAAATAAACCATAGCTGTATTACAAGTTGCCTACTCAAAACGTTTTTCACTGGCAAGTTTGATCAGCCACTGTGAAGAAGTGACAGATATTTTAGAAAAATGGATACAAATATGTTGTCTGACTTAAATTTATACATAGTTAAAATGAGTCAGATTACCTTTAATTAAAATAAGTTTATAACTTAAGATTTGAATTGTTTAATTATGCAGTCTAGTTCTTGGACAAAGTATTTTTTCATAAGAAGCTTTGATAACTTTCAATGTATTTACAACCATTTTCCTTAAATCGCTAACTTAATTAAAAAACTTACTGCCCCTCACTTTAAAACTTGTTTACATCCAGTTTGTATTGATGGGATATCTATGAGAGGTTGTAAACTCTTAATTATTGCTATGGGGAAAAGTTAAATGTTATGGGTTTTTTATGCTAACAAAAAGATAAAAAATCAAATAGAGAAATATTTACAAAGTTACAACCAGTATGTTAGAAACAAATAGCAGATTTATGTATAACAAGTAGCTTTAAAACAGTAACATCAAAAACTGTTAGTAATCAGAAAAAAGAAATCTACACAGAATGAGTGCCAAGTTCCAAAATCTATTATCTTCCCTTTTTTTTGACTACTTTTCTAGTGACAGCTGCAAAAAATTGCGTGGCTGCCAAAGGTTGTTTACTGAAGGGAGGAGTAATAAATTTTATTGTGGGGAGAGAAAAGACTTAGAGATTGTTTGGAATCAGTTTAGTTGTCCAATTTACATAACTGCCCAGTTATGCTATCAATACTATTTTTCATCTCTCTGCTGACAGACAGGTAGATGAAACCATTTACAAACCAGACCAATTTATACTGCTGTGTGGATGTACTAGTGAGGTGCTTTGGGTATTTTTATATTACGATGAAACCTCTAGAGTGATTAGCTTCTACCCAGTTACTTGCAGTGTTGGTATATCCACAGGGCAAACATTTTAGTTCTGCAAGTACTGTGAAATGTCAGGGATTACACTTTCAGTTTTCTGCAGCTCTTAAGCCAGAAGTGAAGGAAGATTGATCCTAGGAGACTTGAATTTCCAAACTCTTATTTGCATGATGAACTTCTGTTCTTGTTAAGGATCCTCTTAATTCATGGGTGAAAAAATTCCCTCCCCTTACCCTCCCTAAAAGCGACTCTGTAGTAACTGGATTAATGTGTTACTATTATGAAGGTTTAGATGATTATTGGTAGAGAGGGAAGAAACAAGAATTTCAATTTTAGGAACCAGAAGGTTTCCTTTAAACAAAACAAAACAGCAGATACACTCTGGGGCCTGGGAACACTGTTAACGATGTCTTGGAAAAAACAAAAATCTGATGCATAATTTTGCAGAGCGAATTTTGTTAATTTAAGCTGACCTGCTTTCGAGTGAAGAATGCTCTGCGGTGCAAACTCCTGGCCCCATGTGAGCTCTGGCTGTGTCCTGCCTCAGTGGTAGGAGGTGGGCTGAGTTATGCATCTTAGCACTGTGTGTCTGGGTTTCCTTCTGATGGAAACCTGAGCATGTGAGTAGTGTCAGAGCTAGCACATAATCAATGTGTGTGTGTGGATGGTTGAGGGGAATATAGGAGGGCGGGGTATACCAAGCAGCACTCTTTTCCTTTAGTTGGGACTTTGCAAAGTGCATATCTAAGAACGAGGGCTACAAGCTCCGTCTATCTCTGCCCAGTGGTGTAGATTCAGGGTTTGTACTTAAGCATTTCTTTATATTTGCTACTTTAAAGGCAAGAGTTATTCTGTTTATGGAACATTCGCAGAAATTAAGGGCAGCCACTGGCTGGCTGCTATATATATTGTGTCTGATGGCCTCTGATGGCATTTGAATAGTTGTGCTTCCTCTTCACTGTTGGCCCCAGGAGGGGAACAGCTGAGGCTGCTGTGAGCATGTCAGGGCTGTGCAGGCTGCTGAATACTTGTCAAGAATTATATTCGAATGTCTTGTTCTTCAGTAAATTAACAGAAACCTTATTTGGGAAAAGGAGCTAATGATTATTTGTTAACTTTTAACAAAATAGTTATGTTTCTTCTATTGTCGGATTACCTGTGGGGAGTTATCTCAGCTCATTTGCCTGTCAGTGTCAAGTATCTGTCAGTATATTCTATTATAGAATCATTAAGGTTGGAAAAGA